TTTTTTTTTTTTTTTTTTTTTTTTACTAATTATATTGCTCCATTTTCTAGCAGTTGAACAAGCTTTTTGTACGCCTGGCAACACCAAAGCGCGCGGAGTGGAACGCGTTCCTTTCGTTCTATATCTTTGTTGCCCGGTGAAATTGATTCACGACTTTTCGTTTTCGCGAATTGATTACATTGATTAACAAATCGTATCGAGTGACGATTTATCGCCCTGTATCACTTTTTTTTTTTTTTTTTTTTTTTTTTTTAAATCAGACCCATCATGTCCATCGATTGACACGTGAAACACTCGTTTTCACTCGTCGTTGAAATCCTGCGAGAGTGACTCGAGGAAACCGTAGAAACAGGAAGATGGTACGAACGACTCTTTTTTTCTGTTCTTCCTTTCTTTTTTTTTCTACTCTCTCTCTGTTTTTATTTTTATTGTTTTTACTTCCTCGAGGAAGTTCGGAAATCTTTCTTGCGCTCGGAATGAGAACTCGACGAGAGAAAGTGCACGCGACGGGGGGAAGGGGTAGGGAAGGGAAGGGAGGGGGGGGCTTTTACCTTTTGAAATATTCACGAGGCCAGATATAAAATAAAAGATTGAAATTGACGCGTAATTACGCGTACGTGACACGGAGGAACGTGCTTCTATTGCGTCAAGCCAACCCTCACCTCTTCTCTCTGGCTAATCAGAAACGAGTATATATTATTTGCTTATTTTGTTTGTTTTGTCTCGGACATTTGCATTCCCTACACAGAAGAAAAACCAGTTTTCTTACTCACTCGTCGTTACATTGGACGACATTATACTTCATTATTTTGTCACGTTTAGCTCGATCTTGGAAATAACCTTTACAGAATTTTCCTGCCATTTTTATTCGTTTCAATCTTCAACATATGATCAGTTTTTTTTTCTTTTTTATACGTTCGTAGGAAAATTGAATTTTAACGTGCCTATATTATATATTAATATTTTTAATAAATATTGTTGTTGTTCAATGTGTTAGATGGTGATAGGAAAATTCAAGACTTTCACATGATGAAAATTTGAGAAATCGTTGTGCACGGTTTCGCCTCATACTCAGAATTTAATAAAATTACCAAAACCATTGTATAGAATTTAATATAGTTTTGGCAATTTAATACGATTACTTTTAAATTTAATAAAATTACCAAAACCATTGTATAGAATTTAATATAGTTTTGGCAATTTAATACGATTACTTTTAAATTTAATAAAATTACCAAAACCATTGTATAGAATTTAATATAATTTTGGCAATTTAATACGATTACTTTTAAATTTAATAAAATTACCAAAACCA